CTCGCAAGAGACAGCGGGGCACACACCTGTCGCATAAGTCTTTTTGCGCTATAGAAGTGCCGTGTCTGTCCTGTCGGTCCCTATCTGTTTGCGTTCAAAAGCGGCAGCTGTTCGTGTACTTTAGGTAACCGGGAATAGGAATGCCCTTCTCAATGCGAGACTGATGTCAGCGATGCGACCTTGTTTCTGACGTCAATGACCAACCTAATGGGTAAAAAGAAAACAAGATAATGTAATATCTTGTGAAAAGCCCTGCGTATTTTGCAGCATTCAATAAGCACTCGGCGATGCAGTTTGCAAAATTCAATGTTACTAGAACACACAAGGTTCGTACGAGTCACCTGCACCACGTGAACCAGTTCACGAAGTGCTGCACCCTGCCATTCATTTCAGCAGTGCAGTCCTGCACCTCCTACGCTGGAGGTGCCTGCTTGGTGCAGCCGTGCGTGCAGCTGAGCAGACGACACAGCGCTTAGGCATAGGCGCGCCGTACCCACCTCTTCTGTTTGATTCATAGAAGGAACCACCGGACGTTTTTATTGGGAATGGCATGAGCGGTTCGAAAATTCAATTTTCGCATGGCTAAATTAGACAGGTTGTACCATCTCGCAGCACCCAGTTGGACTAAGCACGATGCAATTTTAAAGGCTACAGCTGAAAATTGTTCAATGGTTGTTGTTGCTGCTGTGGCTCCCACTGCTTTACTTTCCTCTGCTGCTACTGCACTGTCGGCGGCCGCGCATTAAAGCCAGGAAATGCGTCCGGCAACAGAGACATCGGACATTACAATTGGGGTGTGTAATTTGAAGTGCACTAACTCGATGCATGCCACTAAAACGCGATTTTATTTCAAAATAAGCTCTTTCTTGGCACAAAAGTAACACTACGAGTTTTCTGAACTGCCATTTCAACAATCATCGTGAACTTAAGTTGCCTTTAGTGTCCCTTTAACTGCATCGGTGCGCGTGTGACACATTTAAAACAGTGCTGTTGCTCTGTTTTAAAGCAGAGTTCCAACAAGCTGCCCGTGGATCAAGGCAGTGACAGCATGGATAACAGTTACTAATGACATAAATGCTGGTTAAACTACTAGTATTTCCCCAACGAATTCCACATATGTCGGTTTTTAGTGTAGGCATGGAGCCCCTGCATTCATGGCCTCTGTGTTCGAGTGCTATTGTACTTGCCAGAAATGCATTGTTCAGAGGGATAGTGTGCTGTAGTTCGTCAATGCATCTCCGTTTCAGATCGCAAGGACCACAGGAATGGTATCAAGAGGCCCAAGAAAGGAAACAAGCCTTCCATGCGCGGGGTAAGGCACACTTTTGTGTTGGCAGGATAGTATAGGGAGCTTGCATGAACGGTGGCAATGCTATGAACTCTGGGTAGGCAGTCATTTTTTTGTCAGAGACAGCCAGGGAGTGCAGCAGCGCAGTCGTGTTTGCAAGCGTTGGCGTACCTTGTAGGCGTGATCGAGTGCGATCGCGACACAAATTTAGCTCCAAGTGTCATGCACGATATCAGCCTCCACGCAAGACTACACCGAAGCGTTGTGCCAGAATGACCTCGAGCGGTACGAAGAAACGAGAATTTGCTCCGAGTGACTCATTCACGCTTCCTGCGGGCGACTGTGCAAACGACGTGTACTTGTGGCTGCACGTCGACAGCTCCGATATTCATGAGCTTTTCGTTCCGTCTAGTTTGAAAACCCGAGAGCAGATGAAGCCCAAAAAGGCTTCCAAGGGTCACAAGTTTGTGTAGAGTGGCCAGGTACGGTATCCCGGGTGAGGCAAAGTCGCCACCAACACCGTGGTCGGCGTCCCTCAATGTAAGACCGTGTTGAAATTGAGGGAGCCGCTCGTCTCGTGCACTCGTCGTACTCCAGGAGAATAACAGAGCAGTGGGATGAGAGCAGGCTTCGTTTGTCCCAGCCATGCCTGCGCAGTGCGGTCAAGGGACCCTCGCCATCACTCTTTGCCCATGAACAAGGACGTCGACAGGGGCTTGTTAACACACTGGAATTTTAACCTGAACAGAAACAAACTTGAAAATTTACGGCTAAATCGAGGATAGATTGACGTGAATCAGCACCTTCTTACTTGAGTGACGACGATTACGGTATCGGCGGCGAATATTTCTTCATTCACGACTCCCACAACCAGCCATTCGTCACAAAGTTGTGGCCGTTGATTGCCTTTCTCGACTTCAACAGCTCCCGAATAATAAACTCGTTCTCGGAACGAGAAATGAATATAGAAGATGTCGACGCGCGGCAACAAGTGCACGTCGCTTACACAGTCGCTGACGCAAAGCGTGAATGGGTCCACTCAGAGCAAATTCATGTCTCTTCTTTGTACCACTCGAGGTCTTCCTGGGACAGTGTTGCGGTGTAGTTTTCCGATTAGGCTAGCATCGTGCACAACTCTTCTTGGAGTTAAATTTGCGTCGCGCTCGATCACACCTGGAAGCTACGCCAACGCTCGCAAACACGACTGCGCTGCTAAAATTTTCCACCTCTGACAAAGAAATGGCTGCTTACACAAAGTGCATAGCGTCGCCGCCGTTCATGCAAGCTCCCAATTCAAGCTAGGCCAATTGCAAGGAGCGCTAAAGCTATGAAAGGACTTCCTACTGGTGGCCTCAGAGTGAAAATGTGGTTATATAGCAGCAGTGTTTGTCACAGATCTCAATGGTGTGTGCTATTGGCGATGAATTGAGAGGACACCAGGCGGCACAGCATACATGAATTAATAACGACCAAGGGTAGACTAAGAAAAAGCTTAACACTCTAAACAAATGAACAATGAAAATCTTACATGGAATGAACTACTACAGGAATATTTAAAAAATAAGCTATTAAACTCAATTCTCTGTCCAACTTTAAAACCCCACTAGAATCCTTCACTCAAGTCTGGCCACTCTAGCCTCACAGTTGAGTGTGTCACCAAATGGAACACTTACTGGCTGTGTGCATCCTAAGTCAACCTACATTGTGTGATTCCGTTGTGGATCTAGCAAAACAGTACTGTTGCAATCGGTGCTCCAATTCAAAAACTGTCCGTCGCGCTGACTTAGCCTCTCTCCCGGTTAGTGGCGTTAATATGGCAGTAGGGCCTCCAGAACTGAATGCCCGCTGCGCCTATCAACCGAAGACTTTTTTCCTCTCGTAGCCATGCAGGACAATTCCAGCTCATCGAACTGTAGTTTTCCCTTGCAGCTGCTGTCACAGGCGTTGAGCCGTGTGCTCCTCCATGCCTGTTCTGTGTGCTTCTCCGCCTACTTGGTCGTCCATATGCCGTCTTACTCATGACAGTGTTTTTGGTGCACGGTTATTTTGCTAGTTCTGCTGTTTCAAAGCAACAGAAGATTTCCTGCCTAATCAACATGGGTGAAAGCATTGAAGCTACAGACAAGCTTGTTGCATATGTCAATTGGCTGACCTTGATTTAAAACCACGAGGGTTGTTTGCATAAGCAAACTTTACTGGGTTTTCAATCGTGAAGATTGAACTGAGCGACTGCCACAAACATTCTTTGCATTTTTGTGTCCCCCTTTCAGGCAGTTTCTACTTGTTGCATGTTTTTATAATTTCGAACAAGCATGCTTACATGCGTAGTAAAGGCATATTGGAGTGAACGCCACTATGAAACAGCTTAATAAATCGTGTACATGGCAGTGCAGAGCAGCGCACTGATAATTGCAGTACCTCATTACAAGTGATAGCTCATCCACTAAAACAACCTAACAAATTGTCCCTCGAACAAAAACACACTACAAGCACAGGTGCAACATGCTCTCCATCATAGCTAAAACACAAGAAGCTTCTACTCGGATGGTGAATGTGATTATAACGGCAGTAACAGGACCCACAGGACAAGTAGAGGCACTTCCCCTACAAAGGCATCTGCGAACACTAGCTAAAAGATACAGAAACATACATCGGGTTGCATTTAACCATTAACACAAAAAGTAGTTCGAAAACACCACCTGAAAGTGTTGTAACCTGAGGTCTTCCCGACTCAAACACCATGCACAGTAAGGGCAACGAACTCTAGATGCATTAAAATTTCCAAAGGCCTTAAAATTAAGGTTAGATGTGCTGTGGGTACCCTACTACGTAACCTATTAGATGAATGGAACGGCATTTTGTAAAGTGCATCTTAGTGATTAAAGGTCCCTAGACACCAAATTTACCTGCATGCAGGGGCACCTCTGACAGATCATTAGTGACGAGCTGGAACGGCATTTTAGAAAGTGCTGTTCTTAGTATACAGTTGCAGTCGGCATTTGACTATTGTTCAAGGACTATTGTCATCCCTCGCTCTGTTGTCTGGTTGCTGTCAAAATGGTTTAGGCTGATTACGCCACGGCTTTTTTTTTTTTCAGTCCGAGGGGGACACGCTCAGTTTCTTATTGTATTTAGGCGGGCGTTTCAAACGAATGCGAAATCCTTCTAAATTAACACCCGTAGCATTATTTGTATGGTGCATTATAGCATTTACAATATAATTTCGGCATTACCAGACACCAAGATACAAATTACTGTTAAAAACTCCAAACTTTCGCTGTCAGAAGTCCAACAGACATTGTAAAACAACATTGCGGCAATCTGCATTCTCTAATAGCCAAACAGCTTAATAGTATTTTAAGATATCTTGAGAGGAGACTTAAGAACTGACTCAATTTATAGATCGTAGAAAAGATTAATGGCTGATCAAGGATAGTTGCAGTAGAATCCATACAAACATTACCCTGAATACAGCCAAGTGCAGTGACAACAAAATCGACGGGTCGCACAAACAAGTTCATAGAGATTCGTTGTTGTGACATTTTGTGAATAGACTACGAAATTCGGTGAGGTCTGAATTACGACCCATCCATTGTTCCCTGCAAGCACGTTGATGGGGCTCTCCCTAACTCGGAAGTATCTGGCCACACACCAAGTGAATATATTTTCTCTTGAATAACAAGCACAAAAAGTATGCAGAAAGTTTGAAGTTGTGCTCGGGGTGCGAGTTATACAAGAATTTCAATTCGTTTCACGTCATGCTATACCAATGCAAGGAAGGCCGCCAGTGGATGTTTTTTTCTTTCTCCCCCCGGTTTGCAGTTGGAGGTGCTAGTTAAATGCAGGGATGAGGGGCAGGGTATACACGAGAAAATAATTTAAATAGACGACCTTTGCAGGGTGCGAAAGCTCCGCCCTGCCATAGCCTTGAGCAAACGACTGGAAAGGTGTAAATTTGCGAAGACTAAACTGCAGCTGTTAATAAATTTATCTGCATTTTGAATGCACATTTCTTCCAGAATGCACCTACTTCTCCGCACCATGCGTGCTGCATATTGCCTGTTCTGTTCTCATTGTAGTGCTGGTGTATCCTTTGCAGTAAAAGGAATCTGCTGTTTCGTGGGGCAGAGCTCTTTGGGGTGATCTGGAACAGCTTGGATTGTTGGAACAAAAGCGTCCTGAATCACGACTTTCTCGCAACTTGTGTTGGTACTCGCCTCTGTGTCTCATGCAGGTGGACGCCAAGTTTGTGCGGAACATGCGGTTTGCCAAGAGGCACAACAAGAAGGGCCTGAAGAAAATGCGTGCGAACGAGGCCCTGCAGAAGGAGGCTGCACTGGCGGCAAAGAAGGCATTATAGTAATAATAAACGTGTCATCACATTCGAGGATGCTTGAGGCAGTAGTTCTCTTTTTTATGAGATGCGTCTTACAAAGCGGGGCACCTCGTATTCATTTTCTTATTAACCCATATTTTACTGTCGGTGCACTGGTGTCTCTTATATACGGGTTCGACTGTGCAAGCACAAAAATGTGGGATATCCTAAAACATACTGAAACGAGATATGTCGAGACGTGTAAATAGCCACTGAATGGGCAGAGGCCTTTTATCTATATAGTAGATGCAAAACAGTTTCTGGACGACTTCAATAGGATCAAAAAGTAAGCACTCGCATCTGAAAAACCGAATTTGGCTTTTCTGTGCATGGCTTATGCTAATCCCATGCCCATATTTAAGCAAAATTGCCGCTAAACAACTCCAATTGTGACGCCACTTGGCGTCTACTCAAGATGCTAACACAAATCAGTCGTTCTGCTCTTCAATCCCAAGCTTTGATGAACAATGCCTGTCAATAATGCTCTTCCGATACTGTAATTCTCATACTGTGTGGAAAGCATTTCTCAATTCCTTCAGCACGCCTATTGGCTGTTTGCTCTAACTCGTTCCATCCCTCTGTCACGTAACAGAACGCTTACAAAATACCCCGTCGGCTGAAAAAACAGACAATGTGAGCGCTCACACTGTCGTCTGTTTTTTCCTGTTTTTGACTTCATAGTATCTTTCCTTCATGCTAAAACTGAGCTGCACTAAAGCAATATTTTATCATGCACAACTCGCCCAGTCAGCAGTACTTCGCGAGTACACTTATATTTGTTTTGGCAGATTATGACACATATTGAATACATGGGTGAACAACCACAGTCATTGCAATGTGTGTACAGGTGCCCATCTCTGTATCGAGCTACGCTTTGTGCTCGCGTAATCGATCATTGATACAGCGGCCGTTTGGCCGATGTATTTTTTGCCACATGTAAGTAGCAAGATGTACATTACGCTTACGACGCATGCCACGAAATGATGGTGGTGTTCTTTCTGGCATTCTGCTGGCTTTCTAGAGGCTAGGTCGGTAAGTGGCTTAGCTTAACTGGTGCTGAAAAAAAAAAAAAACCTTCACGCCAACCTGTCCTGCTACTTTCTTCAGCCCGGTCTGAGACCTTGTGTATATACGAGATTGCCGCCACCTTCTCCTTTCTTCTAGATGTAGAGGCTGATTCACCTTTCGGGTGGTGAACTTTCGTGTGCACCTTGCCCGCCACAAGAGACGAGCACCTGCGTAGGGTATCCTGCCGAACCCAGCCTTGCTGCTTGTTCATGCAGGCTGGTTTTCACTGTGAATACAAGATTTCAGGAAGGCATTTGTGTCTACACATTGCAACGACTGTGGTTGTTCACTCATCCATTCAACATGTATCATAATCAGCGGGCACAGAGATAAGTGTACTCACGAAATCATCGAAGCAAAGACTATTATCATAGAAGGGGATAATTGTATCAGCTCACTGTTGTTACTGTGATAATAATCGGAGAAAGAAATGCTGTTCTTGAATTCGTCAATGCACTGAAAATGTCATGTGGCCAAAGATGTATACCCTATATGAAGAGCGGATTTTAAATAAAAAAAAACTGGTTGCTAGACTGGCGCCCTATCCTGTCTCCTCCTTTTCTTTTCTTGTCGGAGTTTCGCCACAAATATTATACTAATCTATGAATTTCTAACTCGCCCGAGAAACGGCACATTTAAGATACATTTCTAGTTAAAAGGTCTCTTGTAACGTTGTCTTCTATAATCCGACTGTCATAGTTTCATGCATCGTCAACGCCAGGTGCCATTGCTGTACACTGACTTTTTGCATCCGGACCAAAGTTTTACCCCAGGAAGCAAGGCTGTTGTTTGGCGGTCTTGAACCACCAGCTGGACACAGGCTCAGATGATTTTGCAAAATACTCTGGTTGGAATGGCACTAGCAAGCCTGTTTCTATGCAAGCCTCCTGTCGGTATACGTTCGGAGCGCCTTGCCAGGACCCCAAGCAAGCAAGGGGCTAAGAGAACTCGACAGCGTTGCAAGCTGTAGCACCGAATTCCATTGGCAACGATTGCTGGGGGGTTTACGAGCAGGAATGCCAAAGAAACGAGCTGCACCAGCAAGCAGCGTGCGCGTCATTGGAGATGTCGACCTACCAGGAATAGCGATGCGATTTCTAGGCCTTGGACCAAAGTTCATCTTACCACCAGGGAAAACGGCGCTAGAGCTTCTCGCCATGGCAAGAGAAGTCTCCAGAAAACCTCCGGATAGTGAACATAAATGATGTGTAGGACTATCTGCCGATGTCGTGTCACGTAGCATTCTATCATTGCTTAGACACCCAGTAAGGCAAGTTGTTAATGTTCTTTGCACACAATCTGCACGATTACTACCTGCTGATGAAGAAGGTGGTTGCAGCAGCTGCAATACGACTCAAAAGCCCTTGAAACAGTCACGTCTGTTCTAAAAGAAAGTAAGGATGTCTCACTACCCAAACTTAAAGCTAAAGCAAAAAAATTATGCATCACGATGGGCCTTTCTCGCTTAGAGAAAGATGTACATGGCAGCGAGAACATTGGCTTGAGGGTGATGTTCAGCGCTAAAATGCACAAGCAGCCCCGCCGCAGTGGTCTAATGACTAAGGTACTCGGCTGCTGACCCGCAGGTCGCGGGTTCGAATCCTGGCTGCGGCGGCTGCATTTCCAATGGAGGTGTTGTAGGCCCGTGTGCTCAGATTTGGGTGCACGTTAAACGTTAAAGAACCCCAGGTGGTCAAAATTTCTGGAGTCCACTACGGCGTCTCTCATAATCATATGGTGGTTTTGGGACGTTAAACCCCACAAATCCATCATCAAAATGCACAAGCAGAACTGTCCTCTTGAGTTTGAAAATCGGAGAATGGGACATGGCAGAAACACATTGCGAAGTTCCTGCAAGACAAGTTAGGGCTCCTTCCCATAGAAGATCCCTACTTGCTGAAGAACTCTGGACGATGTAGCTGCACTCAACAAGAGCCTGAATGCATGGTCAATTGATATTCAAAACCTTTATTATTCACTTCCACACAATCAATTACGTACATGTGTTGAGGAATGCATAGATACTTTGGAGCAATTGCATTTCAAAACACATCAGGCTTGACCGTAGCAAGCTTTATTGAGCTACTCACATTTTATCCACATTCAACCCACACACAATGGAATGACAAAGTGTTTATTCAGAAACATGGTGTATGTATCAGCTCCTGCTCGGCACTAGTACAAAGTGACCTGTTTTTAGCTGAGAAGGACAAATGTTTAAGTAACAACCTCCAGGGCACAAATGTGATAATTTTTAGATTTGTCGACAACTACATAATCATCTGTGACAAAGCCCTAGGCAACAATGACCAGGAAGCAGAGATTTTAAGAAATCTTCCGGAATTGCATCGCCCCACTCGTTTTAACCCATGAATCAGCGGTAGACAATGCTTTGCAGTTTCTTGATCTTCGACTAACCTTTAGCAAGAAAAACATGCTTGCTGGGCCTAACACCCCCGAGCCAGCAAGTCATTTTTGATGCACAATTCATCCCATTTAAAGTTGGTTAAGTGTGGTATAGTCAACCTCTGCTTCACAAATGCCATCCAGAAATTTTGTATTCACTCAGTGGAAACCAGCCTGCATGAACAAGCAGCAAGGCTGGGTTCGGCAGAATACCCTACGCAGGTGCTCGTCTCTGTCGTGGGCAAGGTGCACACGAAAGTTTGCCACCCCAAAGGTGAATCAGCCTCTATATCTAGAAGAAAGGAGAAGGTGGCAGTGATCCCGTATATACACAAGGTCTCGCACCGGTTGAAGAAAGTAGCAGGACAGGTTGTTGTAAAGGTGGCGTTTTTCAGCACCAGTTAAGCTAAGCCACCTCTGTAAGCTTACCGACCCAGCCTGTAAGAAGCCAGCAGAATTCCAGTAAGAACACCGCAATCCTTTTGTGGAATGCGTCGTAGGCGTCGTGTAAATGTTGCTACTGACATGTGGCAAAACATACATCGGCCAAACGGGCTGTTGTATCAATGATCGATTAAGCGAGCACAAAACAAACGTAGCTCGATACAGAGATGGGTACACCTGTCCACACATTGCAATGACTGTGGTTGTTCACCCCTGTATTCAAGATGTATCATAATCAGCCGGCACTGAGATAAGTGTACTTGCAAAATCATCGAAGCAAAGACCATAATCATGGAAGGGGATAATTGCGTCAGTCAATGCACTGACACAATTCATCAATGCACTGAAAATGTCACATGGCCAAAGATGTATATGTGAAGAAAGGATTTTTAATAAAAACTAATTGCTAGACTGGTGCTCTGTCCTGTCTCCTCCTTTTCTTTCCTTGTCAGAGTTGTGCCACAAACATTACATTAAGCTATAGGTCTGTTCGATTCACCTGCACCACGAGAACCAGTTCACGAAGTGCTGCACCCTACCGTTCGATTCAGTGGTGCAGCCTAGCGCCCTCTGCACACCGCCGTTCGTTTCAAAAAGTGCGAGAGAGGTGCAGCCTTGGTTCACGTTTTATCCCGCGTTTTATTGCACCTCTGGTCGTGGGGGTGCCGGTACAGTGCCGGCGTGGTGCAGCGCAAGCAGACGATTGCAGCAGCAGCAGCTCTGGCATCAATGATGGCGGTGAGAACAAACGTAGACGGCGTGGAAACACTCCTGACACCTATCCTTAGTGAAGACGGGAGCCGAATTCCACAGGGCGACGGTTTTGCCTGCAGTGCACCAGGTAGGCATACACCTGTTTAGTCTGCTGCCTGATTATTATTCATAGCGCCTGTGATAATAGAGTTCAATAAATATGTGAACGTTTCTACACCAAATTAGGCTGGATGCCAGTGCGCTGCTTGGTACTCGGACGGGCGTGTAATGTGCATTCGCATATTTTGGCACTACAATCACTTTGCAGGCACTCGTGTGGACAGCATTCGCTAACACAAGGCCGTTTCACAAGGCTTTAAAAACGTGAACTGCGACGTGTTGTGTACGTTTTATTGCCTGTGCATAATGTTACTACGGGCATGTTGAGAAGTTTTAATGGCCACGTTAGAGAGATTTCAGGGTAAGCAAGTTAACCCTGAAATATCTCGCAAGCACTTGTACGCGGTCAACAGTTTTGACGTTGCCTTCCGTCGTCTTTTGCGGAGCCTTTCAAGCCTTTCCATTCTTCACGTTGTGGCTCTTTGTTAGGTCCTCAGTATTTTTTATCTCAATATATTCGCAATCTTCACAATGTTGTGTATATTAAATGGCGGTTCAGCATGTAAGAAAAAAAAAACAAGGTTACTCCATGACCACATTTTTTTTTTCCAACAAAATAATGCTCGCAAGTCCCAAGCAGTTCACTTACCCCAAATTTAATACGCAGTAATACAAGTATTTAAAGGTGCAAAATATAACGTTCCTTTAATATTTTGTCTTTCATGCACATCTGTGGTTTCATTATTTCCTACAATATATACGATTTTGTCAAATGAAATGGCATCATGCAACCTTTCAATCAGCAACAAAGCCTTCCTGAAGCATGACTCTCACTACGTTTTCTTTATAGATGGAACGGTAATCACATTGATTTTCGAGAACAATGGGCCACAGCAACAAAACTGTGATGACCATGACTTTGCTAGTGAACGTTTGTCAGACGTTCCACTTGTGGCACCCAGCCAAGCTAGTGAACATCCTCCAGAGCCAAGCTGTGGAGCGGGCAAAAAACAAGATTTTTAATTAACAAATATAAGGAGCTTAAAGATCTTGTCGGCAAAAAGGGTGGCTTTCGGTAAGTGTTATTTGGAGTAATTGTGAAATGCACCACATGTCTATCCTATACATGTTGTTTCTAACACATGTCAAGTCTTTCTGTTTGTGATCATTGTATTTTTGCATGTATTTCTTTCAGCACAAAAAAGGCCCTGTGGCAAACACTTGCCGAAATGATTTCTAGAGAGTTTGAATCTCCGTGTAGCCCACTGCAAGTACAGAACAAATAGAAAAGGCTCAAGCGGGCGTACAAACGCACCAAATCAAAAAATAACTCTTCAGGAAGTGGAAGGGTGTCTTGCGAATTTGAAGAGTGAGTACAGGTTATATTCAGCTATTCATCACCATACTACTAATATTTTTTTATTTCTAGAGAACTGAGTGATGTTCTAGAAAAAGAACGTCACATCATCCCGACAGTATTGATTACCCCAGGAAGGGTGATTGAAAAGAACAGGTAAAGTTATTGTGCATGAAATGTAAATATTTCATGTGTGTGAGGTTACATTCATTTCAGGGACAGCCACGATGCAAGCAGGCCTAATGATCGTCCACCAGTAAGTGCGTCTCAGGATGCAGAACCTGCCAGACCAGAAGGTGCGGCTGCTGCATATTCTGGCTCAGAAGAACCTGCCGAAATTGAAGACCCAGCTGCAGCTGAAGAAGCGTTAGGCCAACCCCATAAAAAAAGAAAAAGGGTGGATTGCACGCCAATTCAATGTCTCCTTCAAGAATTTAGAGAAAGCCGGAAAGGGAGGGAGGAGCAGCGGTCGAAGGCAAAGATGAGCCTTCTTGAATGCCTAGTGACTGCTGTGGAAAGCCAATGTAGAAAAAATTGCGAATAAATTGAGATGAATAAAAATTGTTTTTCTTAGACAACTATATAGTCGACTCTTTAATGCCATAAATTTTTTCACCACATTCTCACTTCGCACTATTGTTCATAAAATACTCATTGAGGCACTCAGTGCTTTTGAGCAGTAGCCTTTCTCAGACATTCACTGTATGCAGCCAAACTTTGGTCTGTGACATCATTCTCATCATCATTTCCAACTTCTTCAATCTCTGCAGCTTCTTGGAGCTCAATAAGGAAATCTCTTTTTGAGATTTCCTTATTGTTGCATATTTTGTGCAACACACAATCAGCCATTACTATAAGGTAGCACTGTTTGATTGTAGCAGCGTCAACAAAGTAAAGCCTTCGAAACCTTTGTTTCAGATGACCGAAGGCATTCTCAATGGCAGATCTCTGCTGCGAGTGGCACTTGTTACAGCGCTTTTTCCATGCTGGAAAGGTCTGTTCATTATCTTGGTATGGTGTCAACAACCACGGAAGCAAGGGGTATGCAGAGTCTCCAAGCAGGTAACTGTCTGCACACTTCGTCTAAGCTACCTCGAAGAAAGGGCCTTCAAAAGCACCCTGGCATCGTGTGCAGATCCAGGAAATCCTATTAAAACGTCAATGAACTTGTTCCTGTCATTGCATATTCCATGGAGCACCACAGATGGAAATTTCTTGCAGTTAAAGTACGAATGCGGCGACTCCTCCGGCTTCTTAATCTCTATGTGGCAACCGTCCACACAGCCTATGGCGTTGCGCGGACCTTTACCTTTGCTCCTTAGCAAAAAGCCAGTCTTGATCCGTTCTTGCTCACGACTGTCTGGCCAAGAAATGACTTCTTCGCTTATACTGAGTAAAAAGTTCAATACGCGCTCAATGCATGTGTGCACTGACGACTCAGATATATCAAATCTGTTGGCAAGGGAGTACATACTCGACTAGCTACCGAGGTAGCTCAGCACTACCAAGCAAGTCTTGTCTGCACTAATCCGTGGGCGACCACCAGGAGAATCTGAGAAGAACGAGGACGTCTGGTAGCGGCAACAAGATCCCCGAACATTTCCCGTGACAGCCAAAACATCCGTTTACCAAAATACCGGTCAACAACGTCTTCACAATACCTTGGCATGCAATTTCTGTCCAATCTCGCCGATTTCATTGCTATTGCTGCGACTAAGTCGTCGTACTCTTCGTCGCTGTCAGAATCCATCAGCTCCATGGCGACATGCACGACAGTTGAAAGCAGGCCAGAGTTCATCTTCGTACAGAAAAGCGACAGGTGTGAGAATGTCAATTCACGAACGAAAACAACACACAGGGACGCACACACACACACGCACCCTTGTTTGGAACACAGTAGAAGACATGGCACAACCACTGCACTTCGGCATTCGATTCTGCGTGGCGCTGCTATCCGGCTGCGTCGACACCGCTGCTACTTTTCTGAACTAGCCACGCACCCATCGTGCACCTATCAGGCACCACCATGAACCGGTTCCAAGTGGTGCAGGTGAATCGAACGGGACCTTATGTCTCTGAAGGTCTAACTTTTTTCCTTCAGCACATCTTTTGAGACCACCATGAATAATGACAATATTTTTGCCCTCCATGCTGTCCTCTACAACCTCCCGAGCTTTGGCCAGTGTATGCATTATGCCAAAGCGATGAAGTGCGTACACAAGTAATCTATCTTACGATCAGTGGTAACGAAGCTCGCTTTATCTGGCATAAATGGTCCTGGTGATTTTCGCCTTTGCAGTTGCATTCTCCGCTTTCTGTGCGTTGAACTATTTTATTTGCATGCTAGAAATGTTCTGCTGACGGTTGTCTTCTGTTTGTATATACTGCTAATGGGGGTACATGCGTGTCCACTTCTCGGCGTAAAACGAAAGGCAAAACCGAAGCCTCCGAGATGGCTTTGGCTATTGCGGAGACCAACAGCAAGAATAACCATCTGACTGTGGTTGCGATCATTTTGCGATTAGCCTGAATGACCTACGTGTTCTTATTTTCTAGTTAAAGCCGGAACTCGGAGCCTTCAAAGCTCCATGTGCGTAATTCTGTGTGGTGGTTGTCGCATTATAGGTTGTCGCAGCGTATGCGATATTTATCGTGCACGTCACTTGTCTACAGTTGCATGGCATGCACCGCGGTCAGAGGCTTTGTTAAGCTTCACAATAAAAGTTGTCATAGTTGTCCGTCAAAGCTACTCAAAACTACAACAAGAGACTTACATTATCACACTTATTCATGCGATCGGCTGTAGAGAACGCCAGTGATTCGCTGAGTCAACACGATCGCAATGGTCTATATGCAGCGCTCTCCCCTTTTTGCTTCTCGAAAGCTGCGCAAATCAGTAAATTTGAAGTCCTTTGTGTCCGTGGCAATTCACAACGCAACAGTAACGACGACTGGGGTCTTTTTCATTAAGCACGGCACTGTTGCGTGTGCTCTTGCTTTTGCCATAGTTCCAGCAAGTGAACCAGCAAGCTCTTGATGATGGTTCAGTGACGCGTCCGACTACCGGAAAGAAATTCATAGATATTTTTCTGAGTGTTGAATGTGCAAACACACCTAATATTTCGCTCAATTTTTGTTTCGCACATGCTAGTTACACCTGGTTGTGCAGCAAACTGTGCAAGGGAGTCGGGTTTGCACTACTGAAAACTGAGTCGACAGGTGGCGCTGCGTGTCCACAAAAATTTGCGTCTTGTTTCTTTTCCCCATCTTTTTTCCTTTTGTTTTACAATTTGGCTAGGACAATCACCGAGTCCATCCGATACAAATCTTCCTATTTATCAACCCCAGAGTCTGACGTCAATGGGCGTGTCGCCATGGAGGCTATCTAGGGGGATGTCAGTTGGTCTTTGAGGCTCGAGAGGCCTGCAGCAAAATCTTGTTTGAATGTCGGCTATGGACCATGAATGACAAAAGGTGGGCACACCGACTATTTCAGTATATATACGTCAAGGGCATCCACACTCAATGGAGATCACGAGTGATGTTCCTGAGGCAAAAATACGGTCTGCTGGACTAGTATCGAAACCGGGCTTGAGCAGGAGACCACAAAAGACATTCGTGACCGTGTACGAAAAGTGGAGGGAGATATGTGGCAGTCAGCTGTGCTCCCCGAGAACACCCTCAACATCTACCGGGAGAACAAGAAAGAAATTGCGACAGAGCCAGCACTGCATGACAACAGCTGCGGTGCTGCCCAGCTCTTTGAGGCGCGAGCGGGCATGCTGGGCACTCTTGACTATAGAAGTCGTTTTAATTGTGCCCTTGAGACGCTCTCGGCTGTGTGCAGGACCTGTGGTGGCGAGCGAGAGACTGTCAAGCACTTGCTTCTCCATTGTTCGGAGCTAACTCCCCCTCCAGTAGAGGGCACCACCTTGCTGCAAACCCTCGGATTTCGTGATGCGGAGGGAAACCGTTGTGGCAAGAACTTGCACATCGCGAAAGCTCGCCTCGAAATGTGGTGTGGGACACAAAGCGGACACACACGGTACTGAAAGTTTGTGACCTGTGAATTCTGACTTTTGTGTTAAGTGCTTTTTTCTTTTTTTTTTACAAATTGGCTAGGACTCTTATACTGAGTCCACCCTATACAAAGGGTACTTTAGCCACATAATATCTATCTACTCCAGAGTCTGACAAGAAAGTAGTTGGCTGGCTGCCAGCCTTACAATTTGTTGCAATCAGATTTGGCGCTTTGCCATTCCGGTGAAACTGTTGTTTTTTTTTTTTGTAATATGATTACAGCACTCAGAAAACAAATGAAGTATGGAAGTAACGGTGCTCAAAAGAAAGGGGATGGTGACCATTTCCCGGAACAGCCTAACAAAGACGGGAGCATCTAGGTGCGCCATGCACATCACTGCTAATTGAGCATATATGCACGTACTGTGCTTTGCACTTCTCAACTCGGTGGTTGAGGATCGCACATCAGGTAAAAAAAAAAAAAAAAAAAAAGCCAACAACATGGGGGCTGTACATAACTAAGGTTGCAGGTGTGGAGAATAGGTAGATGCAATAGCAGCAAACTTTAAGATTACACCATAGTCCCTCAATACTGAGACTATAGTTACACAAAGTGAGACTGGCAGCTAACTCATTTGAATCAGATCTCACGTAACTTTACAAAACTCTAGTGTACGAGAATACGACCGTTTCAAAGAGAGCAACACTTTTTGAACATTCTCTTGGCGATAAAAGTGCAGCACGTAGAAGTGTGTGCGAGTCGCTGGCTGAAGGCTACTGAGCTAGTTTGCGTACCAGCGATCCCGACCACGCGCTAAGGAGCGAAGTTCATAGTTGCCCGAGCGACACCTGCCCAACCCCCTTCACCGCTCTCGCTCATTTGTTTAATACTCTTCAAGACAGGCGAAGAGCTTCCTCTCTGCTTCGACTACGGGCCTTCCGGGCGGGGGTATTGGAAGCTATCCCACACGCCCCCCGAGTGGTGGAGATGAGTCGGATTGTTTGACCTCTGCTTCAGCCGAGTTCGTGGCCCCGCTCGCGCGCTTTTACTCCCAGATAGAACATACGATGCGCGGCAGTATGTTGTCAATTTGGAATTTTTACAGGACAAGATGGGTACAGCAAAAACCCATCAGAGGTGTCCACATAATTTCTATCGCAATAGTGGGGCTACAGCTCAATTAGATGAGTGTTTAAAAAATGCAGCATTAAACAAATGCAGCTTCACAAGTGCTTTGAACGGGGCTAAATCTTCTCTGAATGTTCTTATTGCTCTAAACTTGTTCACAAAAGCCCTTCTTGCTGCTCCAAGCATGCTCCAAAACATCTTTCTGGCTGCTCCAAGCCTGCTACAAAAACCACTTTTGACAGCACCTAAAGCCATGTACCCTGTTCTACCCCTGCAAGTGGTGCAAAGTAGCACTTCTCAAATAGTGCAAAGTGACATTTTAATGCACCTCAGTTCCAGCAGTAGAACAGGAC